ATCCCTGGGTCAGGCAGTATGTACTTGATTTGATTTGTTTTTTAACAGCATATCAACTCTTTATGGGTCATTTAATGCCAAAATTTGAAGCAATAAAAATATGTTATTCTGCTTTCACAATTGAATACATGGTAGATGATACTCAGCTTTTGTGCATATACCTGTTTGTGTGGACATAATTACTACAGGCTGTGATATGTGTGTTATATGTTGTACTTTTTTTGAAGTTATATTTTGGAATACAGTTGGATTTCTTTTTATATGGATTATATCATGAAAGATATTGTTTGGTTGATTTTGTTTAGAAGCATATCAACCTTTATGGGTTATTTAATGCTGAAATCTAGATATTTTGAACACAATTTTATGGCTTCACCTCCAGATAGATCTTTGTTATTGTGTACATATTGAGTCCATGGTATTCTCAGCATCCTTCTGTAGAGCCACATTTCTTTTGCCTCAAGTCTTTCCTTCATCAGTGAGGACATTGACCAGCATTTGCTGCCATCCCCCTACTCGTCAGTGTGTTTGCCCATAGTAACACATTTTGTCCTAATCATTCTAACCTATTTGATGGTCTAGTTAGAAATCCCGTTTCGAAAGAAAAATCAGAAAAAAAGGGAAAATTGAATGTCTTTGGCTAGAAGCGAAAGTGTCTCGTCAGTATTCTTAATGGCCGACTATTCTTGCTTGCTGCCACGTATGTTGGGGCATTTATTATGACATCGCAATAATTCCAGATATCCTTATTTTCTTCAATTTCTTTTTAGAATAGTCAATGGGACTTATACTGTTAAAACTTAATGTTACGAAAGGGTAAATCCAAGTGTCAGCTAGGACTCTTTGCAAATTACCTCCCCCTCTCATCGTTCCCTCTGTTTTTGTTGTTGTTGTATGTGTTATATGTAATAGGAGTAGTTAGGCTTTCCTACCGCCCGGTCAACACTCCTCCCCCTTCTCTTGGACATGAGTAGAGGCTTACACCTTGTTTCTTGTTTATGAAGGGGTTCCCGGTACTCTCTCTCTCTCTCTGGCCTCTGTATCTCCAGTTGCCTTGATCTATCCACTACCCTTCTCCTCATCCTTTCTTCTATCACTCCTATCTGATCTTGCTCCAAATTTTCTGTAACCCCTTGCGTCCTAGTGGCTTCCCGCCTTGCTTGGGGTGAAATGCTTAAAAAAAAAAATAGGAAGATTGATATTGCATAACAGTTCAGTACTCTTTTCTTTGTTTCTAATGAAGTTTTCCCATTTTCTTAATACATTATTTAGTTTTGGAAGGCATCATTCGGTATTACAATGTGCCTTCATATTTCAGTGTTGCATTTTTTGTCCACTTTGAAAACACTTCCTAAATATTCCTAAAAACTTGTTCAACACTTTGTTAAGTGAGCATTTAAAACAAATCAAGGATAAATAAAATTATAGAAGAAAAACATTTACAAAAATGTCTAGTATCCAAAATTAGAGAACAAACATTGGCATTGATATTTATAAGTGTACAAGGTCTGATCAGAAAGTATCAGGACTGTTGCTATGGTAATAGAACTAAACTATGCAGAGAGAAACTGCTTGGCACAGAATGAACTTGAACTCCATCACACATGCACACTAAGTTATAATATTCTTGCTCACTTGCATTGTTTATAGAAGTGCTTGGGAGGAAAGTGTGTAGAGTGTGGTCATCTCACCACACCACAGAGTTTCCATCAGTGACCATGGTTTGTGTGGCAGTTTTTGGCTAAGCCCAACATTCCCCCGATCTGACAACCAGATTTCACCCCTTGTGACTTTTTCCTTTTCAAAAATCAAATCTCACTTGAATGGAACAAAATTTCAAGATGTTGAGGATATCCAAGAGAATGCAATAAAGTGAGGTATTATAAAAGGTAGTATACAACCTTGCTTAATCAATGCCATTCTCCATGATCAAGTCAGTTAAAGGTATGTCAGATCTAACTACAGTTTCTCCTGCAGAGGATCATCCTGGGTAAGACAATAAACTATATCCAGCAGCAAGGCCTCTGATCAGGAGGTTTTGAGGAGTGTGGAACTACCTCTTAATTGCTGGTGTTCCCAGGTCCACCTTGACCCAAGTTGGTAGCATCTGTTAGGGTCCCATCTATGGGCAAATATTAGGTTGGTGCAAAAATAATGACGTAATAATGTCGTTTTTGACCTTAAAAATACGTCAAAAAACGACATTATTACGTCATTATTTTTGCACCAACCTAATAGTTAATCCCCAAACTGGGGTCAAAACAATATGAAAGGGTAAAAATAGGTTTTATTACCAGCAATACATTTTTGTAAAATAAAAAAAATAAAAAAATTATTACCAGCAATACATTTAAAAAAAAAAAAAATTAACAGTAATACATTTTTGGAAAAAAAAAAGATATTACCAGCTATATATTTTTGAAGAAAAAATATTACCAGAAATACATTTTTGAAGAAAAAAAAATATTAGCAGCAATAAAAACCTTGTTGACATTAAATAACCCACTGAGGTTGATATGCCATAAAACAAACCAAACCAAATCAACCAATCCTGCAGAGGGTAATGCAAGTTTGAATCCTGCCATTGGTTGCATTTTTCTGTAATAAAATTACTTGAATATCCAGGCTGGTAGACAAAAATTAAATACTGTTTAAAAAAAATAAAAGAACACCTTTTATAAGGACTATTGCAGGAATGCATAGACTTTATGAGTTAAAGCACAGTACTAGATTGGCGGTTAGGTCTCATTATTTTACAGTTGAAATCGCTAGATATAACCATAAGTTCTATGCTAAGTCTCTTCTCTCACACTTCTCATTTGTGAAGATTTCTTCTGGCTTCTTGCTTCCCAGTCAACTTTGCTCTTCAAAAATTTAAATGCAATGCCAATTGTTATCTACTGTCTTAATTCCTGTTCTTTTATTGTCCTCTCCTTAATAATATTATCTTTCTTGTATCCTTTTACACCCAGTAACACCCTGCATCTTAGTGGCTTTATTGCCTTGCCTGGGGTGAAATGATTAACATTAAAGGTTGAGAATCCTATATCTGAAATTCTTGGGACCTGAAGTGCTATGGTTTTCAGATGATTTTTTTGATTTTGGAATACCGGCTATTTAATTTGTATATAGTCTATAAAATGAGGCAGCTTGGGAATGGAACCCAAACTTAAACACAATATCCTTTTACATTTTATAACACAGTTTATACATTTATCCTGAAGGTAGTTTTATATAAATAACATATAACCTGAAAGTAGTTTTATATGAAATTTAATACATTTTGTGTACATACAGACATAGATAATGATGCTAGTCATGTAATGCTCACACAGATTTTTAAGTGGTGAAACTAGGATTTCACATAAAAATAATGTTGTGTACTTACTGTATATGTACAAAAAACATGATCACTACTTACAAAAAATAGATAAACACAGGACTTTTTGAAATTTTTGAATAATATCTTTACTGAGCACAAAACACTTGGTAAGTCATCCACAAATGAAAGTGATGCTGTGATGATTGCTAATAAAAAAAGAAACTGGTGCCAACATAGGCTACGTAGCTGGGTTGGGGAACTGCACCCAGGGTAGATGAGGTTACTTACAACAGCTGCACCTAACTCAGGAAACTTTCCAGTGCTTTCCGAAATTTTTAATTTTGTGTTATAAGTCATGGCAGCACCTGTAAAATCTTTTAGATTTTGGAAGTTTTTGGATTTTTTTAATTTTGGATAAAGGATACTCAACTTATATATATATATATGATAAATACACACAAATATATTCAAGCATGAATACATATATACATTTATATAACAAATACACACAAATATATATAAGCATGAATACATATATATATTTTAAGACATTTTCATGTTTATACATTCTTTTTATAGATACAAATATTTAAGTAAATGCTCTGTTTATAATAAACAGTATTAACAACATTTACCGGCCTGAATGTCTGAGAAATTTTCATAGAAAATATTCGTCCTCCGACAGGAATCAAACCTGTATCCTATAAGGAACCGTCATATAGCCTGACATGCCTTAACCATTCGAGCCACAGAGGATCATTCGATTAGCAAGGTTGATTTTACTGTTTTTAAACTTCAATCTTCCATGAATCTCTCACGTACATTCATATCTGCTCAAAGCATATCCAAATGTAAAAAAAATGACGTCACACATTAGGAGGATTAAAGTAAAAAAGTTAGTCAAGGTTTCTCCAGATGACTCAAGAACAGAGTTTAAGGAGAAATTTATGGGCATTTTTATTATTTGTGTTACTTATTTATTCCTATTTTTGAAAAGACTTAATCATGTCAAAAGTTTTCAAAATCAGATCCATCAAAATATGAAATACTAGAGTGGGTTACCCCCACTTGGCTTTGCAAGCTTTGCAAGCTTTGCAAAGATGCTGTTAGGTGGCACTGTTACAGGAACAAAAGCACTTCCTGTTTTCTTTCTGGCATGCAGTAGAAATAATACCAGCTTGGAACATGTTCCCAGCATGGAGATATTGTCCTTTGAGTAACTTAATTCTTTGAAACACACACAAGCATGTATCACTTACACACACACACATATATATATATATATATATATATATATATATATATATATATATATGATTCCTAATAACTAATTTTAATGACTTTTTCTTTTCAGCTATATTTATGTATTTTCTTTTTACTAATCAGCCAATTGTTATATAAAAATTGTTATAATATTGACTTGTTGAAATTTATTCCATTTCAGTGCACCTCCACTAAGAATGAAATTGATTGATTTGTTTTTTATGGTTTATCAACCCTTTGCAGGTTATTTAAAGTCAGAAAGTATTAGATTGTAAGAATGTTTTGAAGATGTATGATTTCTTGATATAAGGGTTTTTGCATATAACTGAATTTAAAGAACAAGATTGGAACTGGAAGTCTGCTATCTGATTTCCAATTCTGAGCCATTATCCATTACACCACCTGCACACCCAAGCTTACAGCACCTGGTATTCCCAAGTGATCATCAATCTAGGTACTGAACAGGCTCAACACTGCTTAACTTCAGTGATTGTACAAGAACTGGTGTTTCAATATGATATGGCCATAAACCCTTTATGTGTGTAAATTTTGTTTGCCAGTGCTTTTAGTCCAACTAAAAACACTACCACAAAAACAATAAAAATAAAACAAAAAAAACCCATCAGAGGTTGCTTATTTTTTGCTGACTCACTTCCTCCAAACAGTTAGTTTATAGTTTCCTTTAACAAAAAGCAGTCAGAATGTCTCAGTTGTTCTATTCTTAATTCTTCCACTTGACATTTTATCCTGAATAAATTTCTATTTTCCTGTCTTCAAGTCTACACTTGGAGCATATTTTTTTAACTTCGGTTTGGGCAAAAGTTTTGAAGATAAATAACATTTCCTTGATCAATTCAGATTTTAAGAAACCACAATTGCTGTCTCTCATATTTTGAATGTGGATAGTTACTTTTATCTTTATAGATTATATTAGAGGGACAAATTTTATATTTTTAAACAATTTATGTTAAATCACGACAACCATCCTAATAGATTGGATGTGATCTTTAACTACATGCTGGTTTCAAGAAATAAGGTCCAAACTTCATATTGATATTATGTTTTTATTTAGGAAAGACACTGTAAAGGCTAGAAACAAATAAATGCCTTAATACAAAGGACATGAACAAAGGAAGCACATATCAAAGAAATTAATATAAATTATGAAACAATTACAATATCTCCATTGGTCAGTTCTCAAGCTACTTATCTGAAAATCTGAGACAAATATTTTGTCATTATTCCATCATTTGAACGATTATCCTTATCTTTGTTGTTTTTAGCACAATGTTTCAGCCAATCTATTGTCCACTCATCCTACATGCTGTTTGTATAAGTGAAATGAATTTGTGCTATAATTCCATCATTTGAACGATTATCCTCACCTTTGTTGTTTTTAGCACAATGTTTCAGCCAATCAATTCTCTAGCCATTGTTGTCGAGTTATCTTTGATGAACATTGGACTTTATTCAATTAATTACTTGAATTATTTTCCTTATCTTTATTTTTAACCCAATGTTTCAGACAGTCCATTCTCTTAACATATTATTTATTGTTTGAATATTGGAGATGAAGTTTTTTTTCACTGTTCTTTAATTATTTCAATTAGCCTTCTCTGTATTAATACAGTGAACTCCATATTTTGGTTAGTGAATTCACCGATCTTATTCAGTTATACATTGCATCTAATAATAAATAAAATTTCTTATTTTGTCCACAATTTTATTCTTTTATCCCTCCACCCACATGACCTAGCATTTCAATCGAAATCACAAACATTTGCTCCAAACTTGAAATGTTAAGACTAATTACTCTTTTATTAAAAAATATCATGAGCTTGTCATTATCACTGCTTGATTGTTAATTGTTGTAACCTAGAGAAGGTTACTGAAGAGAAAAATCACATGAAGGTTTGTTATAAAATAAAATAAGACATATCTCGGCTGATTTACAGACAAATACTCAAGAGCGAGAACTGGATGTGAACGGGACAAAGCCCCGTCACAAAATGACCATTATCTTTCCTTGCAAATGTTCCCGAAACACGTGTTTCGGTTGAAAAATAAAATAATATATAAAGTGCTCTATTTTTCATCCAATAAAAATGCTTCCCTCCTAATTATACTCGCTTCGTTTTTTTCGAGCCTGTTAAGCCATAAAAAAATGCTATAAAAGGGGTCACTTGGAAGTTCAACAGGCAGTCCACAGGTGCCCAGAGTAGAGACCTGTCACGATCAGCTGCTGACAGCAGGGGAGCGTCAACCACCATCAACATGTGTGAACTACTATGAGAGATCGACCTAGATCCGAAGCCGGCTTATGAACTTTACCACAAGGTAGCTGTCCCAAACCCACATGTTCCTGTTGAAATAAACCACGTAAATCTATTTCTGCTGTTGTCGTATTTCTTTCTTGCAACCATACGCTTGTCTATAACAGGTTGGTAATGAACAATAATACTTAGGATAAGAACAACACATATAAGATTCACAGGCAGCACGTAGAAAAAGTAGTCAACTGCTAGAAGTGAGTCAAGTGAATTCCACAATGAATCTCCAACTGCAGACCAACATACAGTATTTACTACTGTATTTATATGAATGGGTACATAACCATTATCATCCGTAGGTATACTACAACCCCTCCCCCTTTTTGGATTTACTCTGTACAGAGTCAATATTTTTTTCTTTTTGAGTTGACATTGATCTTTCCATATCCCTTCTTTTTCTTTTACTCTGTCTCTTTCGGATTTCTATCTCCGGAGCTTTCTGAGGGATGGGTACATTGAAAGTATTAAAAAAAAGAATCTCCACAGGTTCAACCTTGTCTAGAGTAGTGTTCTCGTCAGTTGAATACCTACTTTTAATTTGATTCTAGTGCCTCTTGTGCAATATTTCAGGACCTTTTACTTAGATACACCATTCTACCAATTCTTCGGATGACAGTTTCAACTTCCCAATATGTTTTATTTGACTGGTACTTACGATAAAAACTTTTGACCAATTTTATAAAAAATTTTTCAGGTTTTTATACTACATGATCATATTTTTTCTTATTGGGTATAAGTTTGTCAAAAACTGATCATATAAAAATTTTTCTCTTAAAACAATTTTTCAGAAAAATAAGTTTCTCAAGTCCGGTAGGGTTATTGCTCTTTCCTGTACTGCTGGGGGTTTTCTTTCTTGCATTTTTTTTCTCTTTTTTTCTGGTGCAGTGTGAAATGTCAACATCTTGATTGTGTCATCATTCTCTCTTCACGTTACAAGTGCTACCCATTTTAGTGGTTTTTGTTATCTGGTACCATACATTGTTTGTGATTCCGTAGTGCGAATAGACAATGTCTGAGAGAGGATAGTCACTCATTGGAAGCCATTTTTAATCATTGATTTGAGAAACCGGTTGTATGTAGCTGACAGTTTAGATATTTTTGAACAGGTTTGGTGCCATGAATAGCTTCCATATGAAAATATTGAGCTGATGAGACTATGAACTTTTTTTAACCATTTCACCCCAAACAAGGGGATAATGCCAGTAAGACACAATGAGTGACTTGGAGTGAAAGTGAATGAGAAGACTTTAGTGAGAAATGGGAACAAAGGACAATAAAGGTTTCAGGAAGACAGTAAGTACCAATTGACATGGCATTTAAATTTTTGTAGTTGGCAGGGAAGCAAGAAATCAGAAGGGAGTTTCACAGGTGATAAGTATGAGAAAATCCTATACATCACAATGTTTGTGCTAGCTATGAAAGAAATATCTAATAACAAAACCATTCATATATCCCCTTCCAATAAAGGTGGTGGAATTATAATTATGAATGTATATCAACAAAAATGAAACTCCTTCTCAAAGATGACACTATGAAAAAATAAGCAAAGACATGGTCTTAAGAGGCACAGAAATTTAAACATGAAATCAAGAAGTTATTAAAAAATGAAAGCAGTTCCTGGTTAAAATTCATCAAACGTCCCCCAAAAGCACCCATACTCTACAGATTAACAAAATTACATAAACCAGGTGTCCTGATGAGATTATATTAGGATTATGTAGCACCCTACATAAACTAGCTGACCCACTAACCAAAATGTTAACCAAAAAAAAAAAATGATTTTTAAATTAGTTAAATTAGTGAAAGCCAGCATGGATGCTTTCATTGCAGCAAGGAAACACCAAGTTAACCCCCATTCATCCCTACCTGCATGCTTGGCTGCTATAGCCCACATGGACCACTTCTTCTGGCTGTACGAGAGACACAAGTCTAATTGCAAAAGATGTCTCTCTGTCTTTGCTTGTAGTGAGTGTGTGTCCTCAAAGAAGCAAAGTTACTGTTTGCTTTTGCTGATAGAATGAAACAACATAGCATTTTGAAAGTTTGTTTCTAGAGATTATTGGCAGCTCCAAAAGAGTGTCCTGAACAACATCAATTCCTCTGTCTCTTCTCTAAACAAACAATTTGAAGTCCTGATATCTACAGCAGATACGGTTGAATGCTTTGCTTGGAAATTTTCTTCCAAAACAACACTTGACTGATTTAGAGTACCCAAACCTGATTTCCCCAATAGGACAGAGGTTCTACTGAGTGATACATGCATTATCCCATCACTGGTCTCAGACATCATTTATAAATTCAATTCCCATAAGGCAAGCAGATCCCAGCCATCATCCTAAAGATCTAGATCCAAACCTCTACAAACTCTACAACTATTGTCTCACTGCTTCCTGCTTTCCACCTTGTCAGAAGTCCTCCTCTGTAGTTTCATGTTTTTAAGAACTCTGGATAACCTTCTCACCTCTCTATCACCCTATTAGTCTCCTACCGCTTTTTGGCAAAGTATTTGAGGCTTAATCAATATTGAAGTGATTAAGCACCTTACCTCTCTCGACCTACAATATTACTGGACAATTCTTTGATTTAATCCAATCATTCCTATCAAATCATGAAATGAAGGTCATTTTGAACGGGCTTGCTTCCAGATCCTTTTACACAAACACAAGCGTCCCCCAAGGCTCTATTCTGGGTTCTACACTCTTTCTGATCTTCAATGATCTTCCTGATGTCATCAATTCCCAAGTAGGCATTTTTGCTGATGAAACTATCATTTACTCCTGTCTCAATAGCAAATCCTCCAGAGCTGACAAAGTTAACCTAGCCGCTGTTCTTGAAAAGGACCTCCAGTCTTTGGTTAACTGGGGCAGGAAATGGCTTTTAAATTTTAATGCCTCCAAAACAAAACTGCTTTCATTTAGCTACCATAGAGAATATTTCCTACCCATCATTAGGATGGCTGATGTTAGACTCATGGAGAGCAACACACCGTGGCTTCTTGGCCTCATGTTTACAACTGACTTGAAGTGAAATGACTACATCAAATCAATAGCTCCATCTACTGAGAATGCCATGGACTGAACATATAAGCAATGATAAAGTTTTAGAGAAAATGGAAGTGAAAAGGACACATATTTAACATCAGAAAGCAGAGTTCAAATTTCTATTGCAGATAATGAGGAAAGAGGGCTTAGAAAATT